TTGTTACATATTCCATTTTTGGTTTTCACATAGTCACCCCCCCATAGAAATCACAGACGTAGTCCTACGTCACAATTCTGTGAAGTGATATGATTCTGAAGCAAACTTTTGAGGACATTCTAAAGAAATCCTGCACAAACTCTATACTCTGAGCAAATAAAGACAAATTTTGAAAACTTCGAACGCAGAAAATTTCAAGTTCGAAAAATTCTGCTGTCTTAGAAATTACCCATTTAACATAGTGCTCCCAATCGGTGGAAACTAACGATTTTAAATTGGCTCACTACTTGACTAGCCTATTGGTCCCAAGCAAATCGATTAACGTATCCCATTCAAGTTGAAATTCTAGTACTACACAATGTTTGTTTTGATTCACTGTGAAAGTTTGACAGATAAAATGAGGCGTTAGTGGATTTTCCTATGTTTCGAGGGGTGAATCGATTAACTTGGAACCGAAGATAGTACCAGAGCTGAGCCAAAAAGTTGAGCACGTTTCTTCGGGACCTACTAGTCTTAGAGTTATCTCTATGGTACTCCATTGTGTTCGGTTTGATGCTTGATTTAAATGTAATCGAGAAAATTACTAAAATTCAGCGAAATATCAAAAAAAAACCGGAAAATTTCTTATCACCATGAAAATAATTCTTAAGAAAGTTCGAAGGGAATTTGGAGAGGAATGCCAATTGAATCGAATTTTGAGGGATCATTTTCAAAGGGAATCTGAGGACCGTAAACCAGCCGTGGCTAAAAGCCTCGATAATAATGGAATAACACATTGATTCTGAGGGCAGTTTAAAGATAATTTAAGAGGAATTCCACTTAATTTTTTTATTAAAATTCAAAGGTGGCATGGAAGATTATTCTGAGCATAACTTTAAGACGATTCTGTGATTAATTTCATAAAATTTCTCAGAAAAACTCAAGTGAATTTAAAATAGAATTATGGTTGATGTATTTAGCGAATGCTTGGAACAATCATTAATATTGGAAGACAATCTTAGGGTGTATTCATAGAATTTTATGCAATGTTCGGCAGAGTATTTCTGAAAATTTCAAGCTTAAGGAGAATGATGCTAAGAAAATTCTTGAGGACATTCCAAAGAAATCCTGGAATAAGTAATGATAGAATGATAAAGGTAGTTAAGACAGACATGAATATTTATAACGCAGAAACAATTCCAAGATCTAAGAACAAATCGTTGTCGTAGTTATGACCCATTTAACCTAGCGTCTTCTTCAGTTAAATTTTAATCGATTTCGAATACTGATCTTTAATCGCGCTGCCAGTAAAATGGTCAAAACTAAAAAAATGGAACAATCCCGGGAAATTGACAAAATACATCATGCCATAACGTAATTTAAATAAACTTACTAAACCCACTCCAGAACCTATCAATAGAGGATTCCGTTAGGAGTATTAATACAACTAGAGGAATTTATGAAGTATGCATTTAAGCTTCTTTGACAAATAGGTGTGTATATTTCAATACCATACCGTATTGGAATTTTCAGAGTCACCCTTTCAATGGCACTATTAATAGTAAAGATATCAATTGATATCTTCTATTAACTGACATAATCCCAAGCCATCAAAACTTCCTCAAAGTACCAAGGCTATAAAATGCATGTCGATTCATAGTTGACATGGCTGATTCTCAGCAATTATATCCAGAAGGGCGTTTAATGGCCACCGGGGGACCAAATCAATATGGCACTGCGATATATCTTCTCAACTAAGGGTTCTTCACATTGACTATTTTCCCAGTGATTCCGGATATACAGAGGACCGTATTCTGGCCACCCGGTAGCAGAATCGATATGGTGATGATATATTTCCTCTATGCTCATGATTCTTTGCAAATTAGAAAAAAATCGCGCAGCTCTAGGACTACTTTTAATAATTGACCATTTTCCCGGTGAATTCGGATATCCAGAAAGGCATTTAATGGCCACCGGGGGACCAAATCAACATGGCACTGAAATATATCTTTTAAACTAAGGGTTCTTCACATTTTCTAAAAAATCACGGATCTCTAGGCCTACTTTTAAGAATTGACTATTTTCCCGGTGATTCCGGATATCCAGAGGACCGTATTCTGGCCACTTGGTAGCAGAATCGATATGATGATGGTATATTTCCTCTATGTTCATGATTGTTTGCAATTTAGAAAAAAAATCGCGGATCTCTAGGTCTACTTTCAGGAATTGACCATTTTCCCGGTGAATCCGAATTTCCACAAGGCCACCTTTTACGGGTTATATCGTTCCGATTGGTCACCCACAACTCCAATCGGTTTCTTGTCTGTTCCGTTTGAAAGTAGATAGTCGTACCTTTCAAGTAGTGGCTCAATTTTAAGATGTGGTAACCAAATTGCCGAGAACCAGTCATGTCAACAGGAATCGACACGCATTCTGCTCGGGACTTTTCCGGGTTTTTCCGTTCCGGCTGGCCAATCACAGGTCCAATTGAATGTCTACCAATTCCAAACAAAAGTAGATAACCATACCTTTTGAATGATGGCTGAATCATAACGATTGGTCATTGTATTGCTGAGAACCAACCATGTCAACACGCATCGACACGCATTTTGCAGCCTTTGGGTTATGTCAGTTAATAACTTATTATTATTTCAAAGACACTATTTGGTTACTATTTCCGTAATTTTAGTCACTAAAGTCACCAATATTGCATCGCATCACCACTACCATCCCTGATATTCCATAACTTAAAGAAATAAACAATTCAAACTTCGGATTTTTTTAATTTATTTTGATACAGAAGATGAATCGATTCCGGATCTATTAAGTTTAATGAGTGAAAGAAAATAACGAGCAAAAATAAATGTTAGAATTATAAAATGCATTATTTTCTATAACCAAAAAAAGCTCAGTAAGAGAATTTAAAAATTGCTTGAGTAATGATGAAATATCGTTAAGATTCCAGGTTTTTCCACGAAAGTAAAATTCCCTGAGGATTCCAAGTTTCCCAGCTTTGTCAGGTAGTAGACATCCTAATCTAAGTAATCTAATCTAACACCAACACAGCCAGTTCTTGAAAGCATCCTGGAAAATGATATATATACCTACATCATTTTTCTTGTCTAGTTGATACATGTTTCACATCGAAGATACGTCACACATATCAAAACGGCCAGGCCTACTGTGCAGCATTTAAGGGGCAAGATGATTGAAAAAACATCAGATTAACATTAGATTTGATAAAGAGTCAAACATTGTTGAGATATTATTTAAAATCTAATACTGCTTCTTGATTCTAAATTCGTTCTACGAGTTTCAATTCCGTCCTAACGCATTGAAACGCCATTAGATTTTCTTCGTCCTACGGATAAACGTAGAAAAAGGGAATTCGCTATGAGCGCTTCTTTTGTTTTGAGAACAATGAGTGTAAATATTCACACAATGCGCTCTAACAGGATTTATGTTGTAGCTAATGAACTAACGCATCGGAACAAACCTATTATTGATTTGTGTACAGTGAAATCATTGATGTTATTGATCTTTTCTGATCGATAGAACGGAAATGAGCGATTACGACGAAGTAGTGCTCTACCCTATGTGAAATCTATGAACATAAACAATATTTTTGATTTGAAATACACAATATAGAAATGCAGAACGGCGCGGTGTTCACTACCCGAGTCTTGTCATTATTATCAAGCCATAAAAAGTAACAAGGACTAAAATGTGATCCTTTGATTACTGGAAAATCCTGATTCCCTAGTTTGAAGTTGTCACGACTAGGGTTCGGTGGTAGATCTTATACCAGTAACGCACCACAAAAAGGTGATCTCTCAACGTTACTCATCCATTTTATCCAATTGAACTTGAAGGCTGCCTGACATGTGTTGATGTAGAAGTCCAAATTGTAGACGAAGCTTGACGAAGATCAACATGAACTAGTCCGGTTTATGGTAGTTGCGCAGAATGTCTTCCTTCAATTTGAGATAAACAAATGTTCGGATGTAGTCGATTTTTGATGTGCATTGACAAGCCTTTTCGTGGTCAATAGTCAGGCTCAACGCTGCGACTCAACGAATGATGGAACTAATAATGGGACGAATGATGGGACGAATGATGGGACACCTCGTGGAGGTTCTACTTGGCTTCGAAACAGCTTCTTGTAATCTTGTCCGGTAGTAGACACCCTGTGTTAGAAATTCAAAACTAGCCAGTTTTGAACCCTTGATTAACCAAGACTGAATCATAGAGTCCCTTAACAAGTTTCGTCGCTTCTACTTAATTGAAGTCTATCGCTGGCTTCGAGCTGTTTGAGATCGATCCATATCTAATTTCAAATGCTAAAAGGGCCAAGAGCAAAACAATGATTTAAAATGGTTATCCGTCTCATTTATCTGTTAATTTAAAAACTGCAATTTGCCCCTCCTCGGCACACAATCCTTTCGCCCGAACAAGACTGACCACCACTGTCTGGCATTTCGAACAATTGGAATCGGAGAAAAGCAACCAAGTCATTCCGCCCTTTAGCTTCGTTTCGTTGATTTATCCGTTCCTTCCTTCGGAAAATGCTATCATTTCTAATCACTTCCCACAAATCCTCTCCACCAGACGACGAGAAAAAGGCGTAGCTGGTGCACCACACCTGAGGCGATCGCTTCCACTGAACACTGAAACTCCGCTTGGCGTAGGTACCTACATTGGCCGTCTCTGTAGTCTCGTTGTTCTAATGCGTTGTTACTGTTGTTGCTGTAAAAGAACTGCTACTAGGAAGAAGGTGCTTTTTATTCCCATCATGATCATGATTCCACTCACGATTCACGTGCGTCAAGATGCCGCTCCGGTGTAGGGGGGAAGCCAGACAGTTCCTTGTGTAAAAGTGCTAAACAGCTTTGCCAGGCGGGGAGGAGCATTCAGGGCGATGTTCGACAACGTTTTGTACGGGAGTGCGGGGGTGGTGGCAGTGGCGATGATGGGATGTTTGTAATAATATGAGCTGTGTATAAAACAAACGACTCGCTAGGATCGCAGCTCCAGTCCTACTCGTACGCGACGTTTGTCCAGAAGTCCCCCCGGTCCGGTCTGCCGAGCAGTGTAGTGTGTTTAGAGTGTGGTGGAGAGTCTTCAATTACCAGTTGAACTGCCGCCACTTTCAGAGAAAAGCAATAGAAGCTTCGATCGATTGACACACGCATACGTCAAGCAAGAAGGGTGTGGTGCACAAACGAAGGAGGAAAATAAGAAAGAGCAAAGTGCAGTCTTTCGCCACCCGAGGGGACAAGTCGCGAAAGTGAAAGTCATTTCTAAGTGGTTCGGTGTGCAGCAGTGGTGCAGCAAATACGCAAAAGCTAAGCAGTGCATTGCTTGTTAATTGAAGTAAGTGGTCGATTGCAGTTCGGAGTGTCCCCCATAGAAGTGTGTTATCAACGAAAATATCACAATTCTTCAAGTTGCCATGATTGTTTTTCCAAGAATTATTAGAATCGTTTCATGGAGAAAGTTGTTGTCATATGTTCAAGCATATTCTGCATAACCCTGCTCAATTTCTTGAAATTAGTAAAACAGTTCTCCTGGGCGCCCCGCTTCCTTTGCCCTTAAATGCATAAATGTACGATTCTCTTACAGTTTTGCTTTAAATTTAAAGGAGATCTGTAACGAAATAATTATGTGAAATGGTATGTGCAGTGCACGGATGACTCGTCATATTCGAAAAAGTTGGCTTGTCATTTGTTTTGTGAAACGCATCCAAGTGAATTTCCCTTAAAAGACACACAATATAACTAAATAGCTACAGGAATGACCCGATTTTGTCAGCATCTCCGCACATCAGACGTTTTTTTAAAACTCTTAGAAACTAAACAATGTATATTTTACTGCACAGCCTGCAAATTTCCATCGGGAGTGGTCTAATTTTTCGATTATCTGCAGATCTGAACTGATTTACAGGTCAAATAACCACACATTAAAAATCCGAAAAAAAATATCCTTTGGGACAGTTTTAAAAATCTTCATTTTTATCTTCAAAAATTTATGCAGTGCAAAATCGATACAGAATACAAAATATTCCACGTGGTTGACGATTTCAAGCACCTGCGATGGATAAATTAATCAGGAAAGGTGAACATATGTTCCTCTTCCTGAGTTAGTGTTCATTCAGCCGAATTCCACCAAACGCGAGATGGTAGAAAGAGGTCTCACTAATAGCGATTTTTTTTATTATCGAGGTTGGAACCTAGGTCTGGCGAAGACACATCGTAGTCACCCCTCGGTGTCAAGTTGGTAAACAAGATTTGCTTTTTTAGTGCATAAGCTGTGCATGACTCTCTTGTAACGATGTGATGTTACGTGAAGTATTGCAGCTACGGGGCTGTTCATAAACTACGTAGACAGATTTGTAGAGGTTTTAGAACCCCCCCCCCCTCCTCCTCCGCGTAGACAATCCTTCATACATTTTTTTTGGAATTTGCATGGACCGTCACCCTTATTTGTATGGACCGTGGTCAGTAAAACATTGATTACAGATATTTTCCAAAATGCAGAATTGAACTATTCGGGCGTCACGAATCGCACGGTTTCGTGGAATTCGCTCGATTTTGAAGTTAGATTATGGATCTAATGCGTAAATGTGGCACGGATTGGTTCCACTATGTTTGGATTCAATTAAGGTTTAATTTTAATTATTTGAAGATTCTATCCCAATTATTTCAAGGCAAATAGACATACACACTTAGTTTTTTTTCTGCCGAGCTCGGCTGTGCAAATCTCGTCAAAAAAAGTTTCACTGAGATCTCAGCAAAAGTGACATTTGATTGCTGAGTCTCGGATGATGCTTAGCTGAATCTCAGCAAACAAATGAAATGTTTGCTGAGATCTCAGTGAAACTTTTTTGCCGAGATTTGCACAGCTGAGCTCGGTAGAAAAAAAACTAAGTGTGTAAGTGCTTTTGCGAAAAATGACTTCAATCGACAATTTCTCATGACTGCTTTCTTGTCCACGCAAACAAATATCACCATCATATAGGGGAAATTTTATCAGTGCTGTTTTTATGCAGGTCTGCAGTCAATGGTTTTATTATCTGAACACGTAAATTCTTGGCTTAGAAATATTTCTGTAGTTCCCTGTAGCTGTATTTCAGAATCTGAAACCCTTAAAAACTCTGAAATCTCAAAAATCTCTTAGAATTTCCATGGCCATAAGGTCAATCCCTGTGTGCTTATTAAGGTATATCTACTCGTATCCGAAGTTCTATGAACCTTTCTGAAATAACAACTCTGAAGTTTGCAGATCCTATCTTTATCCTTTTAAGATCTTATTAGTTCACTTATCACAGAATTTCTTTGAAAAGTTCAGAGAGGTTCATATAGCAGTATAGTGCACTCAGGGAAGTCTTGATAATGTTAAATAAATTTACGGAATTTCAAAGAAGATCAGTGAACTTCGGAGAAATTAAGTGGGATTAAGAGAAGGAAGCACAAGGAACTTCATTGTCAGAATATCTCAGAGAAACTCCGCAAACACGTTAAATATGTTTTAGTGAATTTCAGAGGAGTTTAATTCCAGCGAAAACAAATTTTAGAGAAACTCGTGTCCTTTAAAATAAATCAATGATATTTTTGGCAATGTTACGGAACTTAAAAAGGATCATTGGGACTTCAGATCAGAGCAGTTTGGGAGAACAGGAACCTCAGAAAGACTCTTCGGAAACGTTCAAATCAACCTCAGAGAAGTTAAAATCAATGATAGTTTAGGTTTCTTTAATGGAATTAAGAGAACTTCAAAAAGTTTAGGAAATCTTGACAGTGTTTTGTCTGACTCTCAGTTTTCAAAAATTCCTGATGCAGACAAATACAGACTAGTAATCCTATATACAGAGATTCGCGGAAATATTATCAGACGATTTGGCAACGTGATATGTTTAGTTTACAAAAGCTGCTAACACTTGCCCCGGAGCAAAATGTTCCTGCTTTGTGCGTGACTTTATCGTTGTCTACGCTATGCGTTTGTTTGAATTCTCAGTGAACTGGTTAACTATTTTCGCCAAGTTTTGCTCTTACTGTGGTCATGAAACTGCAACGAATGTGTGTGTTTTTTTTCCGGTTTCCGGAAAACGCTGAGCTTCGCAAAAAATGTCAGACTACCGTTGGATATTTCCCTAGTGGATTCTATGCGTTTGTGTAGTGTATGTTACAATGATAATTATTTGGTGGTAGTTAGATAAAATTTAATGCTTCCTACAGTACCACTTCGAGCTCACGCAATTGTATTTTGCTAAATAATTAAAATATATTGCTGAAAAAATAAAACTCACTTCACTTATTAAAAAGGGTGATAAAAGTGCGAGTTTTCTTCTAATTGTCTTGTTGTCTTCGGTGCTCTCATTTCTTATAATTTTTTTTTTCGTCGATCTTGTTTTCCGTGCTGAGCACCAATGCTACCGACGTGCCAGGAAGGCAGCTCCCACACCTGGACCCTACCTATCGACCCATCAACTCATGAACCGGGGACCAACGGGTTTACTTCCCTTCCGAAGGAAGGCGTGATCAGAGATGTTATGCCTCAGAACATCCCGGCGGCGCCCACTGGGATTGAACCCAGGCCTGCTGGGGTGAGAGGTAATCACGCTTACCACTACACCACCGGCGCCGTTGATTTCTTATAATACAAGCAATGAGTGCTCCAAAGACACACCAAAACGATTTGACGGAATCGTGCACTTTTATAACACAATTTGAATTTTTGGGACTGTACAGCTGCAGATGCAATCAGCAATATTAACCGAACTAAAACATATATAAAAATTATTCATTCACAATTTATTATATAATTTTTAACTTTGCATAAGACTCTCGTATGTCATAAGCATTTTACTTCTATGGTATTTTTTTAAATTTAATTTTTAAACTATTTGTTTGAATTTATTTTACCCCGATTACAAAACTTTTCAACTCAATAAGAAATCCTCTGAATATTTTCTTATCAAAATGCTCGTTTGGCTCACATTTTGACAGTTCTCACTGCTCGATTGGCTCAAGATGGCCGCTTCCGCGGATCTCTCTATATAGGATTACTAGTCGCCACTATCTATTCTAGTCGTATGTCACTCATACTGTTCCCTGTGACAAAGTACTATAGGTCACACTCTCGGCTCTGAGCTCAACACAACTTTATACCCCAACACAAACTTCTTCATTCGCCGGCGCCGGTGGTGTAGTGGTAAGCCTGACTGCTTTCTCACCCCTATGGGTCTAGGTTCAATCCCAGCCGAGGTCGGTGGGATTTTTCTGAGGCATAAAAATCTCTGGTCACGTCTTCCTTCGGAAGGGAAGTAAAGCCGTTGGTCCCGGCCCATGTGTATTGAATGGGTGCGATATCTTACGCAGGTGTGGAAGCTGCCTTCCTGCACATTCGATTGCCGTCAATGGATGGCAATCGATGTCCGTCGGTGATTGGCACTAGATTGCGGAACAGAGACCGACGTTAAATAATAAAAAAAAAACTTCTTCATTCATGTCCGAATGTATGGGTTCTATCTCTTATTTCGTCAACCAACCAAATTTAACCATGTCATTTAAAAAGGAGCATCACGACAAGAAACTATCCATTCTAATACGGAGTTCAGATTTCATAAAAGGCCGAAAATTAATTCCCTTCAATATTGGTATTTCCGGAATCGGTATTTCAAGATAGCGGCTTACGATTTCAGAAAAAGTGGGAAATACTGCCAAATACCCTTCAATATGGATATTTTCAGAATCGGGCTGACGTCTAGTGACCAGATATCATTGTCCAATGCCATTTTGAAATCCAAGATGGTGGCTGCTGATTTCAGAAAAGTGGGAAATATTCTCGCCTAACTTTTCAAAAGGTTCTATCTAACATTTCACTCTTTTCGAGAAAAACGAGGTAGAAGATTGACCAAATCTTTTTTGATACTATTTTAAACCAAATCAACTTTTGACATTTTTAAGACCTTTAATAGTAAAATGCGATAGTAAAATTGAAATTGAAATTATAATCTACCCGTTTCATACATTTTTTTCTATGAAAACGTGAAAAATGTTACAAAGAACATTTTGCTCTTGTCAGGTGTACATTAGACATGTTATATAGGACGTTTTGTTATAATCACAGTCACATAGGTCATTTATGTTTTCAACATTATTTGTTTGTTTTTAAGCATTATGAGTGCATAATTTAAGTTAAACGTGTTAAGCGAACAATATGAGTATTGGATAATGCATCAACTTTTTTTAACGGTATATCGCAACACTGCCCACTAGACTGATGCAAAATTTGAAATTTTTGCTCCACAGTGTTTAAACGATTCCAAATTGGATCCTGTTTAGCCTCCTAAAATTTGAACTACATTAGTAAGA